GTAATATTAAAATACTAATAATATATAAATTTTATTTATTAAGTAATAATAAATATATATCATTTGATACATTAATAAAAATTATAATATACGTTTACTTAAATAAATAAATAATTGTATAATTTTAAAATATTATATATATATATATATATTAAAATTTTAAAGTTATTAAAATTTTTAATAAAAAAGACTAAAATTGCACAAATATGATATTTGAGGGAGTAAAATTGTTCAAATTAAAAATCGAGAGACTAAAATTGCACAATTGCAATATTTTAAAAACTAAAATTACTCAAATAAATTCTTGGGGATCAAAATTGTACAATTGCAATACTTAAAGGATCAAAAACACAATTAAGCCTAATATTATGATGATGATGATGATAACATCAACAACAACAATAATAATAATAATAAACATTATATTAAAATATAATCCTCATATAATTTAATCAAAACAAATATATAAAATATAATTTCAACATTAAAATGTTCTCTAACATCAACCCTTTAAATTTTATAATAAAATATATATTATTAATCTAATTGCGAAAACGTAAGGTATTACATCACACTTAACCGAGGTAAAGGGAGTGGAGAAAAGAAAGATGGGGTCATAGTGGGGAGGAAGATGGGAGATCACAATGGTAAGGTTATGGATATACTTGATAAGAAGAAGAAAAAAGAACAATACTTGAAAGTGAATTTGTAGTTAAATTTTGAAAAATAGATTTGTAGGTAGGTTTACATAAATAAATATATAGAATAAAAAATAGATTATAAAATAACATCTTAATATTTTTGCTGACATAACAATATCTAATGTTTATTTCAAATGACATGTTATTGTAATACAGAGTAACTCAATTTTTAGATTATAAATAAATAGATTATATAAATTGGCCTTACATTACCTTGCCATTTTTTTATGACTAATGGATCATACATTCTAAATATGAAATAATATTTAATAAAAAATTATTATTATTAATTATTATAATAATAAATAAACTTATCATATATTGTAATTTATTATAATAATTAATAAACTTATCATATATAATAATTTGTAATTAAATGGTAGTAATAAACTGTTTTATATCATCATTGTATAATATTTTTCTTTTTATTTTATGAATTTTTTATTCTAACCTATATAGCTTATAACTTTACTGGACAAAAGTAGTCCAAGCTCCATATAATTTAAAAATATATGTAATTTACTAATTATTTAGTTTAAATTGGATTTTAATGAACTACTACAATGAACTTAGTGAAGAAGGTTAAGATAATATATATTAAATTTTATATTTAAATTTTGTTATCATTATTGTAATTCTTACTGATAAAAAAAAATTACAATTCTTATAAAATGAGTTAGTTTCGATTTTGGTCCTTATAATTTTTTTATTTAATTTTCATTCTTCCAAAATAAAAATAAAAAAATTATCGCTACTCTCACATAATATTTGTTAACTGCTCATATGTTTAATGGAAGAATGCAACACATTTATTTTTTTTTAGATTGTTAAAATGATTGTATATTTTACCTAAAATTAATGTTAGGAACAAAAATGGAGATTTCAAAGTTTTATAAGAGATGAAAATTATAGAAAAATCTTTTATAAGAATTAAAATAAAAATTTACTTATCTACAAAGATTAATTAAGCAATAATTTTAAAATTTTAGAAGAATAAAAAATAAAAAATATTTTACATTATTAAAATTAAAATTTATTCATTTTATAAGAAATAATTAGTAACATACTTAAGTTTAATTTTTTTAGCCTTTGATTGTGAATCCTCACACTAATAATTATGAGATGCTTTTGAGTAATAGAGTTAGGTAATTTGTGCACTTGGTTATTTTTTTTTCTAATGCTAAATTTTACTTTTAGTCCTTTATCTTATTTTTTTAGGTTTATTTTGTTTATTTATCTTTTAAAATATTTATTTTAATTTTTTATTTCCTAAAATCTATTGAATATAATTGAAGTTGAAACAAAAAGTGTCATAAATATAATGAAAATTGAAATTTTCAAATAAAATATAATTTTATATTATTTTTCCAAGATTTACATTTGCCTAAGTTGTAACTGCCGGGTATTTCCCCTGCCTTAATCTGTGAATACGTTGATTCATTTGACTTTGGTTACATTGTTGGAATGACAAAGCTGACGAAAATTAATAATCAACTCACCGACCATATCATCTAGTCCTTTCCTTACAGATCATATTGACGTGGTTGTATTCATTAGTTGTTGTCATTAACGGTTGAAATTCTGCCCAAAGCATTCAAATTCAATGGTGTTGAAATTGGACAACAGCCATTTTAATGTTTCTTTTTGGAGCAAGATTTTGGTAGAGCCAATCTTGTTCTTTACAGGCTTTATATTCCCCTTATTTTGATTTACTTTACCATTAAATTTTCCAATATCATCATTAAAATAGTAAAATGTATTAGTAAGTAATTGATTCAAGTGGTACTCTACTTTACTCTCAAATAAAATTTTGAGTTTAAATTTTGTATAGGAAAAAAATGAAATTAAAATAAAAGATTTCATTAAAAATAGTTGGTCAAATTTTTTATAGAAATTAATCATGGATAAAATTAATAGATATTTATTATAAATAAGATAGTTAAAAAAGTAGTAAAATGTTAGTTCAGATAGATGGTCAAATAGTTTGCGTGCATTGTTATTAGGGTGGGTATACGGACTGGTCTGGCCCGTTTAAGGTTCAGTCTGTAAAACTCGTGTTTTATACGGGCCGGATAAGTTCGGTCCGTAAAATAAAAAGACTTATTTTTTAAGTCCGTATCTGGCCCGCAAAAATCTGCGGATAACGGACCGGTCCGCAAGCCTAAATAAGGTTCAAAAAAATAAATTTTTAAAAATAAAAATACATAAAATTAGAAGAAAAAAAAATATTTTTTATTTATAAGCTAAATTTTATCATACTAAAATTTATCAATAGTTAAAATGGTTTAAAATACTAAATATTAAAATATTAAAATTAAAATAATTATAAATACTTAAATAGTAGTACTAAACTTTCAATAATAAGAGCATTAAAATGTCATAAAAGTAATTCAAATGACAAATACATACCAACTAAACATAATTTTAATGTCATAATAATTTAAAAAATTAAATACACAACATAATATTAAAATCATAATATTTAAAAATATTAATTAGTGAAGTCCGCGGACTAGCCCGCGAACTCGCGGATTAAATTCGCCAAGTCCGCGGATTTCACGAGCCAGGCTCAAAAATTAGACATAGTCATACGGATTTGAAAAAAATGGGTCCGTTATCCGCAAAATTCACGGATTTACGGACTGATCCGCGGACTTGGGTCCGTCTACCACCCCTAATTGCTATTAATATCTTGGCATTAAATTTGATTTGATGGATTTAAAAAATATATATATAGAAGGTGAAAAAAAAAATGGAGTCTAACATAAAAGTAACACTACCAATTACCAAATGGGTATGCAATAGACAGAATATTTTAGGAGGGACAAGATGTGTAAGCCGTAGACAAAGTTCAAATGCTAAATACAAGATGGGATTCTGCACAAAATTATTTTTCAAGTAGTTAATCACATGCACGCCTTGGCTTTGCAATGTACAACAAGTACTAACAGTCTCCATGTGGATTGAGGATGAATACAAAAGCAAACATGACATGCCACCTAAAAAAGTTAGGGGGGTAGCATAGCTTAGGTTATTCTGTCTTTAGGGAGGAACAAAAAACAAAAAAGGAATTGAGATTAAGGTGATTACTTTAATTGTACACCACTAACTAATATATTAAAAGACAAGCAAATTAAATAGATTTAGTAGATAGGCATAAAGCACACATTCAAAATAATCAAACAACCCATGATTCCATGAGCAGAAAACATCATAGGCTACCTGCTTCCCAACAATATAGATAGTGTGCACCACAATAGCACTAGAAGCCTTTTATAAAAGGATCCATAAAATTTACATGCAGTACTACAAGTATTATTTTTTATTAATACAATTTTTCATTAAATATTTATATATATTATTAAAATAAAATTATAATTCTGATTTTAAAAAAAAATTAGTAACATTACATATGATAGTATATCTAATTTTTTTTGGTAAAAGGATTGATGATGATGATAATAATAACTTGTACCGACCCTTACAACATGGGGACCTTGAAACTTCAATCATTCATTATAGATATGAATCAATGGGACCATAGAATCGAGTTAGTGGCCATGTGTGTTATTCACTTCTGAAATCGTATTTGCAACAACACAAATGCAGGGCTCTGAAAAGGGGAGGGAAAATTGGTGTCCCACCCTCAAATCTCAACCAAGTGATAGGGTAGACCATGCTTTTCAGCCACCGTGTCCCACATGACAAAGGACATGACAATTCCACGGAATGAAGTAAAAGTAAGAAAGAAAGGAACATTTTTCTTTATGAATTATAAAAGCATATGATATGCTTTGCCTTTTCAATCTCCTTTTTTTTTCACATAAATTTTGTTGACATCAGCAGCATACAAATTACTAATCGCTGATTCCACTAGTTTATACATCATACTATTGTATGATTACATTTTTGATCAATTTAAAACAAATCCCCCAAAAATTTTATTTCTTCCCTCTACACATTGCTAATGTACTTCCCAAAACAACTAAAAGGGACACCACCAAAATATATACAAGGAGTTTGGTTTTTTTGTTTCCGTCTTCTTGACATCATGGACTCCTAGGATTCATGAAAGAGAATTGGTTCCATTGCAAGTTGAGAAAGTCTGATTTATATATCTATATATATGTCTTCCTTTCCTCATGTTTTTCTTGCAAAGCTTGCTACTTAACAAATGACACAAGCATTGGGATTCTCTTCCATGCTTTGAACATAGTAGTATGTGGTCATGTGGGGATTATAGGCCCTATAAGCCTTGACCAGCTCTAGAACTGGATCTGGTGGTGGGGCTGGTGCAGCCTCTTTCTTCTTCTCATCATCTTTCTTCTCTTCTTCTTTCTTCTCTTCTTCCTTCTTCTCTTCTTCTTTCTTTGGCTCTTCCTTTTTCTCCTCTTCTTTTTTCCCTTCCTCCTTTTTTGAAGACTCCTTCTTCTCTTCCTCCTTCTTGCCCTCTTCTTTCTTTGGCTCCTCTTTCTTCTCTGGCTCCTTTGCTGGCCCTACTGAGACTATGTCTGTCTGCCAGTACTTGCGAAGCTTGCTCACCACATTCACAGGATCAACAGTTCCTATCACTGTTAGCTTCTTCTCCTTCATGTCCATTGAGATGGCATCAATCCCTACATGGTTGCACAATTCCATTGTTTGCTTTACAATATCAAAAGGCAAAAAAAGAGCTAAAAATACATTTTCTTAAGAACATTTGACGATGTTTAATTTCTTATCAAAATTGGACTTGTTATTTGATTAGAATTGAATTTTTAATATGATAGTTTATTTATGTTAACTTTTAATGTAAATTATTTTTACGTCAATTATATAAGATGAAATTTAAATTCTGATTGAAAATATCTAAAGACTTGCATGTGAATTGTGTCCTTAACTAAATTCAATGGAACAATGCAATGCCTCATGATCAAACTAGACAATTGCAGCTTCAAACGTGGAGGAGGCCAATCCAGTTAATCAAAACAAACAAAATCAAACAAGAACTATCTTGTCCAAAAATTTAATTGCTTGAATAATTGTTTATTGGGAACATGAGAGTATGAGATTTAGTAACCCTGTTACTGAACTTTAAATTTTTCCTTCAAATTCAAGAGACATTGTTTGATAAATTAGTAATTGAAAGTTAACCAATAAAAAACTGTCATGCTATTTTGAGTGAACTTTAATTGACAGTTAAGAAGTAAAAGTATAATTAAGCAGAACATTTTGATCATGGGTTACCTGAGGCTGAGGATGTAAATACCAAATTTATTTTGTTTAGAAAATAATACTGTAAACAAATTATAGGAACCACTAAGAAGAGACACCTTAAAATTTCTCAACTCTTGATTATACGAAAAACAATGCAACCAACCACATCCCTTCCAATGCACGAAAACCCAATTCACAATATTTTAACATAACCACAAGACAATTTTATGACATGCTAACTAATGTGTTGGATCGTTGTCAATCATAGGAAAATAAAATATTGTTTCTAGGTGATGGAATATAACGCATTTGGTATGTCTTCATCCCTAAACAAAGACACAAGATACTCTGTAACAAAATGACCCAAATATTTATTTTAATAAGTTGCATCGAATATAATAATTACAATAAGACTGGTTGTATTCGCTTTTAATTTTTTTATACTAATATCACATCATGTACGGCACAGATTTAACAGGTTCGGATATCATGATAAGTATAACATGATTAAAAAACAGTGCTAAAAATATTTTACAGGACCAAATTAATAAAATTAAACTGGTTAAAATAACTAGAGAGATCGGTGCTGAAATGTCACGTGACAATGATTTGGAGGTCGCGTCAGCCATGAGGCAAACTATCACTCTCCCTCACTCACCCAACCCAGATCTCAAAATTTGGTAACATTCTGCAGATTTGGACATTCCCAAACCAGCAATTTAGATATCATATAGTATATTAATTTAGAAAAAAGGGTGAACAATGATTTGGTACCTGAAAGTGTTGAAACTGTTTTCAGGGCCTTCTGCTTGGCCTTGTCATCTGGCAAATCCAACTTGAGTACAAACTTCTGCAAACAAAAATTGAATCAGAAACAGATTCATTAGGCCCAGATTCAAATCATGACGACCTTAGCATACTAAAGAATATTCTTAGAATAATAATATACAACCCACGAAATCTGAACCATCCAATTAAAAAGTATGCAACTTTATGCATATATACCCCATATGTTCAATTAAAAGTAAAACTTATGCCCCATATGATAAATTAAACACAACCATGAATACCACCAATATTCATTTTGAGGCACAACCCAGATCTTTATACGGAAAACTCAAAAAAAGCATAAAGTTGATGGAGAATCAAAAGTGAATCAAGGTTGTGAGTCAAAGCTCAGAAGCGAATTATGAATTATCCTTTAAGGAAAAGGGTAAGGAGAAATAGAATTAGAAAGTGGGAATCATATACCTTCATGGTTTTTTTTTTATCCCTCTATGTTTTGGAGTGATGAATTGTTGTGTGCAGATCAAAGGCAGGGAAATGTGAAAACTTTGGGAGAAGGGAAGAGAGAAGAAGAAAAGAGGTTCGCAGGAATGGGAGATGAGAGAGTGCAATACGAAATCGAATAATGCTAAGTTGAAAAAGATAGAGAGTGAGGAGTTGGACTCATTTTAATAGCAGAAAATCGAATCAAAACAAGGTTTGCAGAATAGGAGAGAGAAAGAAAAGCTAGAGAGAGAAAGAGATAGTATCAAGTATGAACTGTGTACTTTGGAGTAATAACGTTTACAAAATAATAATAATAATAATAATGTAGGAGTAGTGAACGTAACGGGTGGAGAGTTATAGGCCACGAGAGAGAGAGTGATAAGAAAGGCCACGCGAAGGTAGTGAGCGTGTGACTAGTTGGTGAAGGTCCACCACAAGGTATTAGGGGCTGTCATTATTTTCTCCCTTTAATTAATTGCTATGCTCAGAATATATGTTTGCATGGGGGACAAAGAAATACATTGATACTTTCGAAATAACAGAAACTTTTGTTTTATTAAGGTAAGTATACTTGGGTGTACAAGGTTTCACTTTAGCGTCTCATGCTTTGGTACTTTAATTTGGTCATGCTTGCATTGCCACCAAGAATTATGTTATGAGATTTTTAGAGATGGAAGTTTTAGGAAATTTTATAAATTTACTTTAGTTATTACTTGGATTTTTATGGATGATATGGTTGTTTTAAACAAAAATTGATTATTTATCATGTTTTGTTAAATGAAGTATTTTTAAAAAGCATAATATAATTTTCAAAATGCTCTTAATTGAAATAAAAAATTAATAAATAATTGTTAAGATAAGAATGATATATATCAATATAATATTTTTGGCTTTAGGCCACTCAATAAAAAATATATATAAAAAAGGTAATGCAATATGTAGTATGAGATTAAAAAGCGTAAGATTGTTACATTGGCTAGTGGTTATTATGAATGTGATAAATATAGTTTTGATTGTTGATGTCGAGAGTATTCATAGGGTTAGAGAGAGACAAATATAAATTTGTTCCAACTTATCTCACATTTATTCTTAATATTTTCAACCAAATATTTTCTATACAAATAATTAAAATTGAAATTAATAACATAATTAAAATATCTAACCATCGATTGATTATGTAAAATATTCTTAGTTAATATCTCCTACACCAACTTCACGTTGAATGTTACTCAAGGGTGAGACAATTAAAGCATGTGTTTTAGCTGTGTTGTCTTCTTTACATGGACTCAATATTTATCTATAAAATAATTCGTGTGCACTTTTGTTTTAATAAAAATATATTCTAAAACACTAATAAAAGTTAAACGTATATATACTACTATAATTTATTTAATTTAATATACATAGATATGAAAAGAATACACGTAAATTTAAAAAGCCAAGTTTTATTATATTCACATTTTACAAATTAATTAAAACATGAACTACATGTTGTGTACTTTGTAGCTTTATCTATCACATATGGAACCTTCCTCTTATTGGTTTCATGAATTGAACGTAGGAGTCAATCAAGGTTTGGAGGAACTATTCGAAAGGAACATGAAAAAGATGTATCTTAGGATTTTATTGTAATTTAAAAATAAAGTGACAATTAATGTTCATGGTGAATTGAAGGCAATCAAAGATTGACATTGGCTTCTCCTTAGCTTGAGAAGGGAATTCGCTTGGCGTGCTGTTCGGACTCTTTCAGTTCTTAACCTTTTCAATGGTGATAGGTTTCATTTTCGCATGTTCGCTTGAATCATTTTCAGATTAGAAAGCTTTTATCCCTTTAATTGAGTGGTGAACTTATAGTATACAATTTTTTTTACAATTAAAATCTAATAAACACTGTAGTGCAAAAAAAATTATTTAATATTTTTCTAAATTGTAAAAAGTGTTGTATACCGAAAATTTCTACACATTTATCTTTATATTGGTAAGATATTATTTAATTTGGGTTTAAATCCTTGTGATTTTACTTTTATTCATCTCTAAAAAAAAATTTAACAATGGAGATATGATGAGTTTTTACACATATATGTCTTCTTGTTCTAATGATATATAAGACTTTAATTATATTCTATCAAAAGATTTAAGAGTTAAATTTTATTATTGTTTTATAATTTCTACTAATAAAAAAATTCAAAAATAAAAGATTCAACTCAACGTTTAATTTCTGCTTTAATTTCAAGAATTGATTATTGATTTAAAGATATGTTTTTCTCTTAAGATAAATTAGTTTTAATTATTAGTAAGTTCTGTTAATCAATTTCTTCATAATATAAGTTTTTTTTTTTGTTGGCTTATATATATATATATATGATAACAAAAAAGGACTCATTCATGATCATGGTTTTACTTTTATTTATCTCTAAAAAACTCTTAACAATGAAGATATGATGAATTTGTAAACACATATATATCCTCTTGTTCTAATGATATAAGACTTTAATTGTATTATAAGTTTATAATAAAATATTTAGGAGTTAAATTTTATTATTATCATTATAAACTTTACTAATAAAAAAATTCAATAATGAAAGACTTCAACTCAGTGTTTAACTTTTGCTTTAATTTTGAGAATTGATTATTGATTTAAAGATGTATTTTTCTCTTAAGATAAATTAATTTTAATTATTAGTAAGTTCTAACAAAAAGAGACTCATTCATGATTTTTTTTATTATTAATAAAAAAATCTTAAATAAGTTTTTAGGAATTAACCAACCAATAACATTTTATAGACAAACTTAATTCTGAAAAACAAGTATTGTATAAGTTCGATTTATTTAAATTTAAGTTTTATTTCTAAACAACTAGAAATGTTGTTCTATCACTAATTATAGGCAATTATGGATCTACACTCCTAATTGAATTTACATGATTATTTTAGTCGAGCAAACACTCTTTTGCCCAATTAAAAAATAGCTTTTTCCTTTTAATAGTAAGAACAAAAAATATATAAATTACAAAAACAAAAAATGAATATTTGTACTTTTCAATCTTTAAAGAAAATGAGTTTTGATAAACCTTAAATTAGAAAAGAGGTTTAACCCCATATTGAACTCATGAAAGTACAAAAAAAAATTAAAGAAGAGGAGAAAAAAAAACTAATGCACTAGCTATATAACTCTAAATATGAGATGAAATTAGAGAGTTAACCCAAATCATCACAAATTTTAGTTGGTTTGGATTGAATTTTCTTTATCTATTTCAATTATAAGTATAATATAGTCTAGGATAAAACATATATCTATTTCAATTATAAGTATAATATGGTCTAGGATAAAACATAGTGTGTGTGTATTGAACTCATGAAAGTACAAAAAAAAAAAATTAAAGAAGAGGAGAAAAAAAAACTAATGCACTAGCTATATAACTCTCAATATGAGATGAAATTAGAGAGTTAACTCAATTCATCACAAATTTTAGTTGGTTTGGATTGAATTTTCTTTATCTATTTTAATTATAAGTATAATATGGTCTAGGGTGTGTGTGTATGTTACAAAGTTCAAACAATGACATCAAAATTGTCTTGTCATAAAAAAGGTATATATATAAAATAAGAATTGGTATCGCATCCTTATTTTTGGGTTAAATATGTTTTAAGTTTTTCAAATTTAAAATAAATTCATTTTTGTTTCTTAAATATAAAATTGTTGTTTTTAATTTTTTTATAATTTTAAAAAATCTTATTTTATTCTCTTAAGTTACCAATAACATATTTAAAAGTGATATATTAAAGTAGTTATGCAATATTAGTTAGATTTAATGTAATATTTTTACTAATAAAGACATTAGTAAATAAATTTTATATAATATTTTTAATAAATTTTTTAATAAAATTTGAACATAAAAATTATAACAATTTTTTTTTTGAAATGACAGAGACTCATAATATCAGTTTTTAATTTTAGAAATTAAAAATAAATTTATCTTAAATTTAAAAGATTAAAAACGTATTTAAATCTTAAAAATAAAATTAAATATCATACCGTACCCGAGAAAGTAAGGTATACGACTAGTATAAGTTACATTATTCATAGTTTAATTTTACTATATGGTCGGTGTAGTGTGAATTAATTATAAATTAATTTATATATAATTTTTTTTTATAAAAAAGCATTTTAAAAACAACAATTTTAGTATCGATGATAATTTCAATTAAATGGTAGTTTTTTTTCTTCCAGATAGCATATTTTAAACAAATTAATTATTCATATAACAGTTTTTTATATCCTTTTTTTTACATAATTATAAAAATTTTGTATGAAAATAAATTTTCAAGGTAAATTGTCCTTCTTCTTTCAATCACTCTATTCAAATTAGCTGTTATTTTTTTTGTCTATATCATTTTATTGAAAATTGAAAAATAAAGTATTATCTTTTAAGTTTTAATGTCAAGGAGTATGATAAAAACAAGAAAATAAGACAGAAGATTTGATACCCGTGAAGTCCTATGGCACACAGGATTGATGCAAATTAAGGCTGAGGCAATTATCGATCCCAATGCATATGCATGCTCTGTTTCTGTGGCTTCCAACAACAAGTGTCTGCACATTAATGCAATTCTCTTTTCACATTCATGGAGAAATCATTAATTTGCCACTTTCATTTTCAATAATACAGAATACATCAAAGAATAATCTAGATGAATGTGAAGTGAAAGAAGAAGGCCAAATTGACAAGGTTGAGAGGGAAATCTCCCTCTGTCGTTTGGGAAAATGGCTCACTCACACAATACCAACATTTACATCTAAACAACCAAACAAAATTATTAAAATATGTGCCTAAACTCTAAACTATATATTAGCCCTTCACTTTTAATCTAAAATAAAATTTAGTTTCAAGGATATTTTTGACCTTGTTCGATATTATCTTCAACCTTTTTTACAGAAAAAATAAATAAATTAATTAAAAAATTTTAGTCTCCTAATTTTAGTTTATTAGATTTCAACCACACCAATTAATTCTGTAATTCTTTTTCGCAAATGATAATTAAGTTTCTCTCCATCAATATTTCATTCATTTTCTATCATTTTTTTTTCCTATAACATAAGTAGCATGAGCATCTAATACGGACGAAGTTAGTACATGTGACGCAAATTAAGCATGGTAATCTAACCCGTTTATGTGGGTACTCACTCGAATCCGCCTCGATTTGGATGGGAAAAATTCGTGTTTATCGGGTTCGGGTTCGGGTTTTTTCAATTGATAAAATCGGGAGCGGGAACGGGGACGAGGATGCTACTACCCATCCCGC